CTCTTTTCACCCTTGCCTCGGCTGCTTTGATCACACTCGGCTGCACTTTGCTGATGCCGCCATCCTTCAAGCTGGCTTTCAAGCTGCGTGATCCGCCAGGGTGGCGATTACTCGTTTCCACCAGGGAGTCGTAAAATATATTTTATGGCTCCCTAGTTTCAACTCCAATCTCCAGAACTCCGCGAAACCAGGAGTAGACGCACAGCCAAACTGATTCCATTGTCCCTGATTACTGCTTCTGCCAGCACTGAACGGCTGTGGCTAGCAAGCAATGTCCACTTTCCTTAGCCACAAGACTCGTGTCGGACTACAGACTTCGGAAGAATGCATGGTCATCGGCATTCGAATCTGGGCTTTGCGCAAGTCGAACAATAACTTATTGTGTAGTGCGATCGGAGCAGCTACACGTTCACTCGCTCATTGTGTGGGCTTGCTGCTCGTTGCATCGATCTCTATCAATCTAAAACTCAGTGCTAGAGAAGCCAAGCGGCGCATTATGTCCTCGGAGAAGTGGTATTTCAGTTTTGCTCACCATGGCCGTCACCATCTATGTTGCCACAGCGCAGCCATCGATTCCGCTCGGTTTGCTGTGAAATATCACTTTCCTTGCATCGTATCTCTTTCTTGGCTTGCCAGGAAAGGCCCAGAAAGTGATCGCAACTCATTTCACATCAGTTTGTGCGCAAACCAGTCACTCAAAAATCCATCACGAAGTTTTTGTTAACGGAGAAAGTACTGAAAACTGATAAAAACATCCAGATAATTTGTTCGACATGACTAATAAAGGAATTATTCATCCAGTGCATGCGCCAAAGAGTGAATAGCAACTGAATGGAGCGGTTGTCCGTTGACAAACCCACTTTTATTTACAATGCAGTCGCGTGATGTCCACCACTTTCTGAGTGCAGAGAAATAACAAAACAAAAAACTTGATAACACAGTATTCAAGATCAGAAAATTACGTAACAAGGCAAGACTCGGCCACCACGACAAAACTATCCACAAAACGTTGGGTGGGGAAACCCCAACGAGAACGAGCACCACGGACACAAAGAATGCTGGATCTCAGTAAAGAGAAAGAGAGACGGGCACGCAGCAGACTCATGACAACGGAGTATTCGCTACCAGAAGACTGACATTGTAAGCGACGTTCTCTACAACCACCATGAATACCAAACCCTAGAGGGGTGAAGGAAGCACGCTCTACATTGACAACTCCCTCTTCCTACTCGTGACGCTTGGAATCCTCATGTTGCATTAAGCACGACTCGTATTATTTCACACACACACACACACACACACACACACACACACAACCTAGCTGCAAACCACATTAATCCAGCAAAGTGGATTTCTTCAGCCGAATCGAGAGCATTCTGGATTAATGTCTATAAGACATTGACTGGGACGAGGTCTGTATGGGAAATTTAGGCTGCTTACGTGACCCCTTTATTTCCCATATAGATCTCGTTTCAGGCAATATCCTTTTTTTTATCACGACCAAATATGAACGGACATGGCCAAATTTCTGATTTCGCTCACAGTTGGCTCCTATCCCCAGGTGGACCTCATTCACCCAATATGATGTTTGGTCCAGAAACCCTCCGTCCTTTAGATATTGCCTAAAATCAAAAAAAGTCGATAAAAATACGAACTGAAACACATTCAAACAAGGTACAAGATTGAGGGTTTGCAGCTACTTACAACAACGCAGTACAGCCAAACCAACTATGTTCTCATACCGATCCAATTTACCTAGTAATGTTTAGCCATCCATACAACGACCTGAAAAATTCCAGATCCACAAACTCCCTCACATCACACGAGGATCTAGTTGCACTGAGGCAGCTCGCCCAGGATCGTCGAAAGTGGAAGGAACTAACGTGTGCTGTGTGTAATGGCTGAAGTTATACAATTACACTAGATACCCTTAACAATAATAACGGATACAATTACACTAGATACTCTAGATACTAGATACTCGGTACTCTAGATACTAGCTACTCTAACAATTTTATCAAACATGATAATTACCACATCAAATGCTGCGGAGACCTATCCAGAATCGGCAATATGCTGGCCCTGGCCTGGAGATCTGCAACTATAATCAGCTTCTACTTTGCAACACTAACGGATTAGTCCCCTTTGTCGATTGATGGATCAATCGGTAGATTCGGCTCTGTTTTTCTTTCCTTTCTTTCTTGTTTTGAATTGTACGTTGAACTCATTGGATTTCTTTGTATTCTGTATCTCGTTATCGTTATATTTCCCTCTAGCCCTCTCGCTTAGGATGAGCTTTCTTTTTTATGGCAGCTTAAGCGAAGGCTATATACCTGCTTTATGCAGGTTGATGCCAACGCGAACAAGCAAAATAATAATAATAATATTAGGATTGGTGACTTGCTGAGTTTATTGAACAAATCGATCAATTCAGCCTGTCTACTGGCGGCCATTGCAAAGGCCAGTAGCAGCGGGTTACGTCCTGAAATTGGGGAAGGCCACCAACATGACTATCACCACGTTACAACCTGTCCCCAAGCGCCAACAAGTGATAGTCTTGAATAAAGGTATCCACTAAAAATCACTTGGGGGAAATATTCAAATTTCGAACTCTCCAACGGCCATGCACTAGCCGAATCCAACTCACTGGGAATCGTAACAGGATAGCACACACAGAGCGCCTCCATATACCTTTTTTTCCTATAAACCTTTTTGCTACGCTACCAGCACTAAGACATGATGGGAATAATCCCTGCCCTCACAGAAACTGGAATAAAGCCGCCACGAAGCGTCATTTGCTGAACAAACGCCCAGCATGACAAAAAAGAAGAACTGCTCCACAACAACAACAACTCAGCAAGGACTGCAACAGTAGCACAAGATGGCCCAACATTTCTCTTGTACAAGGCAGCGAGTGCACGCGAGTTTCACGTGTGCATCGATGCCTCGTCGCACTAGTGGAAAATCATGACGTAGCAGTCGGGCGCTCGAGGATATCAGGTATGCATTGCAGTTGGAAAATCAAGAATCGAAAAGTAAAAACTTCTCTTTGGGGGGCAGCTACGGCCCTGCAAAAATATGCATGATGTAACCGCGCATGCACCAGACATACATGGGCTCATAGCAACTAGAGAGAAATTTTGAATTTTTGGATGGGAGCGTGGCACGCATGTGAAACTCGCATGCACTAGCTGCCCAGCACAAGAAATCATTCTGGACCAATCTGGGCCATCTTGCACTACTGTTGCAGTCCTTGCTGATTTGTTGTTGTTTCTTTCATTTTTTATTTTTTTAAAGAGAACACAAACCTACAAATCATGTTGAAAGACAAAAAGTACATTGGACTGGGTAGGCGCTATCCACAATGCCAGTAGCTGTGCTGATGAAATACATGAACTCTGCCGACCATAGGTCTCGGCGTCACAGTGCCATGTATGCATCAAAATTAATCATAAGTTTATAATGAGCCAACATAAGGGGTCGTCCACAATTATCGAACTTTTTTCACGAAACGAAATAATTTCGTTATGGGGTGGGAGGGGGTAGACCAATTTCGTTTCAGAAAAGTTCGATACATGTACATGGCCATAGGAGCGGGTTTTGTTGTATATTCATGTATATGTCAACAATTTTTACGTTCTGAGGGGGAGGGAGGGAGGGGTTGGGTCTAAACTAAAATAATTCGTTTGGTGAAAAAAGTTCGATATTTGCGGACGGCCCCTAAGAAAGTGACAAAAAATAAAATAAAAAATAAGACAAAACAAGAAGGGAATAATAATGGTGGAAAAAAGGGGGAGATTGAGAGATGCGTGGGTAGCTCTCGAGTGATACGGCAGGGTGAATCTAGACCAGAGTGGCTGGCGACTTCGTTGCAGGTGTGTGCAGCAGTGCCGGGCTTTCAGAGGTGGTCTGTAGCCCACAGCCAGTCAGTGTGTAGCAAGTGCTTCCATGCAGCTGCCTTGAAGCAGTGCAGCCGTTGCAGTGGAGAAGTTCTTCTTTCTCGTCATGGTGGGCTGGTGCTTTAAAGCTAGTGACGCTTCGTATCCCAGTATCCAAGCAACATTACTAACGTCTCTGGACCAAACTGTCATAGTGGGCGAACAAGGTCCGCTCAGGTATAAAAGGAGCCAACTTTAAGCAAAATCGGTATTTGGCCATATCCGGTGATAGTTGCTCGTTACAGACATTGACTCTTAAACTATGCAACTGCGTTTAGTTCCTTCTGGATTTTAGCTCTTGTTGCCAAATATAGGACTAATAGTTTCAACCCATCATCATTTAGATCAGGACTTCTTCGTGTGGTACTTTGAGACTAAACTGGACCTCTCACCTAGCACTAAAATCAATTGACCCAACTCACTTGAAGACACTAGAAACTCCTTGGACAAGAAGAACATCCAGTCCATCGAAAATGAATCTTTACGAGCCAGCTCACACTTTGACATCACATTTTGTTGATTTATAATATTATTAAACACACAAGTGATGGTTTTCGCTGAAAGGATCTCACCTCTTATCATGTCCCCTGCCTGCCTCATTGCAGTATGTAAGAATACTCCAAAGCTGTTAAAGATTCTCGAGCAGGTGGTCAACGAATGCCAGCCAGAGGTGCTATAGGGTTTTTACATTGCCAAGTTACAGCCTGCTCCTTGTAGACAGAAGGTGCTTTTGAGGAAGATAGTGCTTTTCTGACTTTCCTCCCCCTCCTTCCCTGCTATAGTTATTGTGCTCTTTGGAGCAACTCACTCCATCATTTAGCCTGTGTACGTTTCAACACCATTCTACCGCCGATATGCTGTGTAAATTGACATTGTTGTGCTTCGTCTCATTTTCAACCTTAACCGATTTGAGAAATGATTGTACAAAAGGACTCATCAGATTTACAACTCCATTGTCTCTTCGTATGCTAATATGTTTCCCTTTGTAGAAGTCTTGAGTTCATTTCTGTCTCCATGGCAACTGACCTATGGGTACACTTCCATTTTTTTGTTTCGTTGCAGGTGAACATCACCATGTTTGTGACGATGGTGAACATGGCATAGGAGTGCTTTTTATGCACACGCAGGACAAACTGGATTACAAAGGTGCCGAGAAATTTTGTAGTGATAGAGGCGCAGTTATACCTCACAAAAACGTCGAGGGGAGTTGCATGAACACGCTTTCCACCCAGTTACAAGGAATCTATGGTAGACTATTTTTCTGGACTACTGCACCTGGTTTGAACGGTCCCGACCATTTTGGTGCCGACACGTTTGGCTATAATGGAGAATGGAAGCAAATTGGGAACAACTTTAATGTAGCCTGCTTTGACAATAGGAGTAAGTCCAGCAAATATAACTTGCACGTATTATTTGAGTTTCTTTGTGTTGTGCTGATGGGTGCTCAATGGATGAAACAGCATGCTGTCTGCAGATATAAGAGTTATTGAGCAAAGTCAGCTACTTTTATCCTTGTGTGAATCTTGTTCACTGACTAAGATGGTTTGATCCAGAGGTCCTTGTCACCTACCCTTATAGCGAATACCCCTATAACAATATTACCCTTAAAACGATATTTTTTGTTCACCGACTAAGATAGTTTGGTCCAGAGATCCTTGTCACCTACCCTTATAACGAATGCCCCCTATAACAATATTACCTTATAACGATATTTTTCTGCCAAAAAAATCACTGCATTGCCTTTGGTACACGATGCCTTACCCTTGTCACAATAATTGTTGCTATTACGATATTGCCCTTGGAATGATATAAAATGGGCTGACCATTCATATTTCTTCCATTCTATAACAATATCTAAGAAAGGGTTTCTTCCCCACACTGGAGTTCGCGGTATTCCGCCGACTTGACTTGACACTTTACTCGGTGGAATAGCGCGAGCTCCAGTGTCGGGAGCCACCCTTTCTTACAAATCATCGCCGAAGTTGCAACCACAATTTCATAACACTATCTAGCAGGGAATATGTAGAGTCCACTACCCAGGTAGTGCAAGCTTCACTTGAAAAGTCGCTGCGACATGACGAAATGCAATGGGGGCACCAGTAACTGCCTTGCTGTGTACATAATGTGCATAGAACATACAATCATTTGCCTTAGGGTGCGTTCTTAAATTCTCTACCTTCTAGGAGAAGAAGAAAAGAGAAGTCGAAGAAACTGGGATTCTTCAAGAACGGGTCTTGAAGAATTCGGAGATATTTTGCAGATGTCAAGCAAAATGAAGCGCCAAAGGGGCCGCGATCTTGAGTGCCACGAATATAGTATGCGCTGTGCGTATCCGAAAAGGGAAATGCGTACACTCATGATCAACACGTGGCTTTTAGCCTAGTTCGCATGCGCTGATCCCAAACCGCGGGAATCTCCAAGTTTCAACCACCTCTGGAGCTTGGAGAGCTTTGGAGAGCCTCCTAAAATTCGGAGAGGATATAAGAACAGCTCTCGAACTTTTCGGAGAGTCTCCAACTTTTCCGAGAGGATTTAAGAACGCACCCTTAGGTTTCATGCTCTGAAGAGTGTAAAAACAAAAATCATGAATTATGACGTTCATGTATGAAATGAACCAGTAACCGTGTAACAATAAATTAGTACCCTTTTAACGATTAATGCGATTAATAGTATAAGTGAAGCGGACATTACAAAATGATGAATGAGAATACATGTATCTAAAATGGTTGTTCCTAATCGATTTTCTTGAGACTATCATCAGGGAAAATCGTCTCACAATAGAGGCTATACGGAGAAACAAACTACTTATAGGTTATCGGATAGTGGGAAGCATACAAGGTGAGGTGTGAAAAAAACTAAAGTGGGAGAGAAGACGAAAGAAATTAGAAGAAAAGATGTGAGAGTGTTCTGACGGTGTGAGCTACTACAAAAGGTGAGTGAAATGAAGGCGTGGAAGCAGGTGAATGTGATAGAGTGAGGAACTGTGAGGTGTAGGTGTATGCGAATGAATACGTGTGTGAATGCTGGGTGAAGAGTCTCAGTTTTCTTGGTCTGACGCAAGTATCGTTAGAAGGGTAGGTCAACTGCAATTACAATAATAATAATTTGATAACCGCAATAAGACAAGCTGAATTGACATTTGTGTACTTTATTCATGCAATGTAAAACAGTGGAGACGATGTGCAATAACACGATGAAAGTAGGTGTAGAGAAAAAAATAAGGATTCAAAAAGTTTTCGTACAACACTCATCAGGAATCGTCGTTGTACTAAAGGACAATGAAACAAAATTGAACTATTATAGAAGATCTAAGTTAGCGAAATAGCACTAAGAACAACAGCAGTGAAATTTACACGTGTGAATCTTAACAATGAAATCGAGAGCAATAACGAATGTGCACTCATAATCATGTATAAACAATTAAAATGAAACAATTCCAGAACGTTTTCGTGTGACCATCATCAGTGGAACATCGTCACATAGTAAGAATCACTAAAACAACCAGTTATATAGCTAGAGTAACATGAAAAGAAGCGGTACCATTCTCAGATACACTGCAAAGGTTCACACTACACGCGTTATGCATAACCGCTAGCTGTGCTGCATTCTCACGCTTCTTTTCATGTTACTCTAGCTATATAACTGGTTGTTTTAGTGATTCTTACTATGTGACGATGTTCCACTGATGATGGTCACACGAAAACGTTCTGGAATTGTTTCATTTTAATTGTTTATACATGATTATGAGTGCACAATTGATATTTTTCATTGCTATTTTACGACTGTTGTCTCCTCGTCGGTTATTTAAATAACGAATGTGTGCTAACAATAAACTTGCAAATGGAAAAATGAACAAACAAGAGAAAGAATGAAGGAAAGACAAAGTGATAACGCATAACAGGAGTACATTTCATCTAGAACATTAACGGCCAAGCTTGGCCGCACCAAACAACACACGTTACTTGAACAATTTCAACCCAATTATACTATCTTTCTGTATACACAAATTAGGCTTATACAGACCGATCTAGCTAGCAGATGATTGTACACTGAAGACTTGCTACCACGAAACCTACGCACAACACTAACATTCTCACCAGCACTCTCACTATCACTCTCATCATCGCTCTCCGACTCACTGCTCCCTTCGCCGTCCGTTACATCCTCCATTTCCTCTTCGCTCTCTCTATCTCGTCCATCCCGCCTGACCCGGTCCATTGAACTTGACTCGACCGTCACCCTGCCGTCATGTCCCTCCTTTCGCCCTTGTCCGTTGAGTGCGTAGCTTCTGTTGTAGTTGGCTGTTGATCGTCTTGGTCTTTCAATAATGGGCTTGGATGGTGGATTAATTGTGGTTGCTGTAGATTGCGTTGTTGGCGTTGGTGTGGGAGCTGCTGATATGCAAGGTGGGTCTTTTTTAGTCGGCATTTGTAGTGTTAATGCCACTGTCGGTGTTGCTCGCGGCCTGTCACTGGCAAGCTCCACCGACGGCAGGAGCAGAGGCGGCGACACAAGCCCACCCGATGAGCCACCACGACGGCAGAGCAAGCACGGTCTGTGAGCCAGGATCCGCGGGTTGTGTAGGTAACGGTTGTGTGGTTAAAGGGGAAGTATACTCTAAAATCAAAATTTCACCAGTTGTAGTCTTCGGGGTGCTGAGTTGAATGGTCTTGGTCCGAGGACGCTGAGATGCTTCCTTCCTCTTTATTCCCAATCGAACCCGCGCATTTCCACCGAAACTGGGTGACTGCGGCCTACTACAGTCTGTTTCAAAAAGATTAGCAATCAAGTTTGGGTCTTAAAAAGTATGAAGATAAGGGAAATTTGAACAAGAAAGTACATAAAATGGCTTGTTAGGACACGGCAAATTGTTCTGTGAAGGTTTCGGAACAATTGGACCAACCGTTAAGGAGTTAGAATTTCGGCCAGGTTTCTGGCCTTTTCCCATTGTTTATAATTTGCCCTGGAAGCCAGTATCGATTTGTTATCAAAACCCACGATTTATCCCTTCTTTTTGGCCTTGTTGTTATGAATGTTGTCTGCTGACCATGAAGTTGTGAGTTTAAATCCCAACAAATTTTCAAGTCAAACATTTTTTCTTCATTTTTTCATTGTTTTGGTGATCAGGCTGGTACAGGACAAAGAATGTGGCAGCGCCAAACGACTTGTTGTTGGAGCTTGCGTTTCTTGCCGAACTGACTGACACTTGACTGGCTCACGCCATGTGAAGTTGTAAACACACACAACACTGAAACCGTGTGTGTGAACACGGAAGTCATTGCACTGTAGCTACGTGTTGTTGAATACCCCGGCACATCGATCGATCCATTTCTGTTTGACAATTATTTTAGTATTTGAAGATCGCCAATTTATTTGAATTTAGGAGTCAACGCCGTCTTCTATCAGCTTTCACAGGCGTCTGCTTTTCTCAAAATGTCGACGAAATCACATGGTTAGCTTTGCCACATCAAGGCCTTGGGAATGAGTCTGTGTCGATGCCGTTTTCGTCACATCGTGAGAGTAAATTGCATCCGCGGCAGCTCAAAGAATCTATTCGGTCACAAAACGAATTGGGACGCATCCCGCTCATCAAAATTTACCACACTTTCGACATGTCCTCGACCAGCTCCTCTCTGACTCCATATCGATACGAGGAAGAACTCGTTTGTTCTAAACCAGACGAAAATGCATGTACGAGTACGAGTACCGACGTCAGTGAGTTGTCATTTTCATGCTTTCGCGCGGAATATTTCTTCGAGTTCACAGTGAGTTTTTCCAGGCAGCGCTCGAGCGCTCATACGGTAAGACGGCAAACTCCCCGGGCGATCGCCAGGATTGCTAATCTTTTTGAAACTGACTATAGATAGGGATTTGTATGGAAAAAGTCACTAAAAACGCCGTTTCGTTCTTATAAAAGCACGGATGACCGCGACTGGTCCATATGTTGTAGCAAGAGTCCATAACCCCCCAGAGTGTGCAACTCGTGATCCTTCTCAGCACGAAATGGGGAGTTTGGCCCGGACCTACTTCGCCCGTTTGCCCAATTTGGGGTCTTTCTTTACGAATCCAAGGCCAGGTATTGTACGTAACACGCCTGGAAAGGCTCAAGTTCCGGTACACAAAGAATTAGAGTTGTCGAACAGTTTTCTCTTTTGAGGGTCTCTCCGATAAGAGAAGAACAATGGCCACTGTTGAGCCTAAAGCAAAGCGCTCCCCATTGTCGCCGGAGTGCAGTGTCTCTGTGGACGATATTCGTCAGTTTTTGCTCGATCTGGGCTCCTCATTTTCTTCTCTCGATTGTCGAGTGTTGGAAACTGTTAATTCTTCCAGCACCTGGCTAGAGATTTATTGCTCGAAGTCTGTAAATCTATATCCATGCC